CACCTGACTCAGTCTTCAGCCTACTGTATTACTGATTTACGAATCACTACCAGGTGCATGTTAGGGGAGTGAGGAGGCCAGAACACTGGTTCATAGTTTTTGTTTTTTTTAAAGCAAATTACTTACTGTATTTTTATGGCAGGAGGGAGAAAAAGTGTTAGAACAGTTTCTAATGAAGTCAAATATTTAAGTGATGAATGACTAATGTGTTTTGTAGAGACAAAATAAACCAATAAATGATGGTTCTTTGTCATTTATGCAGGAAACTAAATACCCTTTTCTCAGTATAACTGAACAAAGATTAATTTATAAATGCTTTATTGAAAAATACACTTATTTTCATATAAAATTACAGTAGCAGTAAGTATCTGGAGAGGTTTTATAAATATTTTTGCAGAACACTATTCTAACTGAACAGTGTAATTAAAGTTCCATATTTCTTTCAGAGCATTATGAAGTTACCTAGTAACTTTGTTTATACTGATTCAATTTACAATTGAATTTTCTCCCTAATATTATTCAGTCAACTTAAAAACTGCTGGAACAATACTGATTAATAAAGTTATATATAGATACTTCAATAGCTGCTAAATAACCTTTTCTAATTTGTATGACTGGTACTATGTACTCACTGAAAACCTAAACTCCTTTTTTAAACTGCCAGGAACATACCAAAAGATAGTTTAAAATGTATCACCTTAGTAGACACATGTCTTTTGGAAAACTACCTCCTAAAGTGGCCATAATTTTTCATATTAATTTCCTTAATTCAACTTGATTTAAAAATCTTCACTCAGCCAGCCGATCCCTATTAATAGGGGGTTGGGGGAGACCTGGAAAATTTAAAATACGTGTGCCCCAAAGGTGGCTACTGGGGCTTTAACAGTTCTAAAAACGTACAAAAAGCATCAAAGAGGATGTTGAGTGTTTAGCCTAGCAGTTTTGTACTTAATAAAGTTCACATTGTAGAAAGTGCCATCACAATATACAGCAAAACCTGGATTACGAAATCATGCTTTTTACAGCCCAAAAGTGCCACTTATTACACAACTCACGCACACCACACACCAAACACGCAAGCACCTGCCACGCTGCACCACACCTACGGGAGGGAAGGACACACAGGGACCGGGAGACGCGGGCCATCTGAGCTTGGGCCCTCTCCCTTGTTAAGTTTCAAAAATGCAAAATTCTCACACTCCTACCAAGTGTTTTAGGACAGAATACCTAGTTTTTGTGTTGCTTTTCAGGAGCGCCAGAGCAGACCACAAACGGGTAGGAATGGACTGAAACAGCCCTCTGCTGGAGGGTCAGCAGAGACCGCATGCTTTGTTCTCTACAATACCTGTAAAAGCTTTGCCAAAGAGTTAACAAATCCCAGACCGGTTTCTAAGCAGCCTTGACGGCAAGCACTGAGTGGTAGGAAAAAGGCAGATGGGATGAGTAAAAATAAGGATATTGGAAAGAGTAAGGAAAAGAGCCCCATAATCTAGCATGCATTAAATGATGCTGTTAAACAGTTTGTGAAAGGAGTTTCAATACAACAGACTAACCTCAGTGGGAACCTCGGTCATTAGCTACATCTTGGAGACGGCGTATTAAGGCAGTATGATTTTCTGGGCAAATTCTTTTGGCAGGCGATTCACTTCCATCTTCCAAAAGAATCCCTCTCTTTTTGGTTGGAGTTTCTCCTGTCCGTATCATACTGTTAATTTCTCTTAGTCTCTAGAGCGAGGGAAAAACAGATATAAAAACTTGAAAACCCGAATACACACAATGCGTTGTTAAGGCAAAGAACCTCAAGTGAGTTAAGTGGTTTACCTTGAACATCTCCATGGAGAAAAGAACTACTGAGCTACCCAGCCTCCCCATGTCAACCTCTCTGCTGGCTGAGCCGATGACTGGGCGGAGAAGGAGGGCTTAATAAGCTCCGCAGATGGAGTGGACGAACACTTTTCCAAATGCAAGAGCTGACACATCTGTGATTTCTTTCTACGGTAGTTATAGATCATGACATGGCTAATAACTTATTTAATCAATTCCATACATCCCCATTCTCCTTTTAAAAAAAGCATGATTTTGCATTGTATTGTGCTGATTTTTTTTTTAAGTCTAGCAGCCATTTTCAACAGGAATTTCACGAGAGAAGTAAGCCTTAATTCCCTAAAGCATCCTTTGTAAGTAACTTATTGGTATGATCTGGAATGTCATAGTTACTTGTTGTCCTTGGGAGATTGAGAACAGTTGGGCAAATTCTCTGCGGGGAACGCCTCCTGAGGAAACACTGCCTGGTGCTGGAGACCAGATTGGTTCTCAGCGCCTTCAGCGAGCAGTTCCTCCAAAGCCCCAAAGTCAGTGTACCCCACTCTTTTCTGGTCGTGTTTGGTTAAAGGGTTTTTTTCATGTGCTGCCTCCTTGCCCTTGTTTCCTGTTGGAAAGCACATGAGCATATATGTTCACATGCACTTCCTAGAGGAAACAGGCTTAGACTTCCGTGTCTGTGTGGATCACCCGCACTGCATGCAGTACTCTCCAGTATGTGGCATGGCTTAATCCCCTCTGGACATGTTACTCCTCCCAGCTGTTCGGTGCTGTAAGCAAGGCTATCATGCTGACTGTTCAACAAGCTGCACCTGCCCTGACCGGTGTCACTCATGACCCGTCATCTCACTTGATACCACTTTGTAATATTCGTCCTTGATCTCAGTTATCACCTAGTAAGTCACGATGACAAATATTTCTCCAACCAACAGTCTAATATTGCTTTCTATTATTGGAGAAACTCCCAATTCTGTGCTACAGTTTTTTCTGGCACCTTCCAGTTGGTGATCATGGACAAGCAGGATTGAAAGTCACAACTCTGGATCCTTAACTTAAAATTTACCCTGGTAAGTGTACAGTTCTACACGTTTAACAAATACACAGCCATGTAATCACCACGGTAAAGATAGAAAACAGTTCCTTCACTCCAGGAAATTCCCTCGTAGTCCCAGCTACCCCACCCCAAGGCAGTCACTGATGTTCTGTCCCTACAGTGTCCTAGACATGGAATCAAGAGAGGAAGTGGCCTGATGAATGAGTGACTTCCACTTAAGCATTAATGCCCTTGAGGTTCATTTTCGTTGCTAAGCATATCAGGGCTTTTTATTGCAAAGCAGTACTCTGCTGAGTCTACTACCCAGGCCTGTTTACCATTAACCAGCTGGAGGACACGGGTGGTTTTCTACTGTTTGGTAAACAGGAATAAAGTCATAAGGGTTCATGAGCATGTTTTGCATGAACCTAAGTTTTCATTCCACATGGGTAAATCCCTAGGAGGGAGGATTACTGGTTCTATGGTAAAGGTATGTTTAACTCTATTTTCCAGATATGACGTCTCTGCTATACCATTCTGTATTCTGACCAGCAATATAAGTTCCAATCGCTCTACATCACTGCCAGTGTTTGTTGTCATTAAGATTTTAGTCATTTTCATAGGCAGATAATAGGTGAAGTGTGTTAAAATCTTTTGCCCATTTTTAAATCTGGTTTCCCTTTTGAGTTTTGATGATCCTTTACATACCGTAGGTACAAATCCTTTATCAGCTATGAGATCTGTAAAATTTTCTTCGTCTGTGGCTTGTCTGTCTTAATTTTGATCATCTATGTGTCAGTCTTTGAAAGATTGTGCTATTGATGCTATATCTAAACCCACGTTCACAAAGATTTGCTTCTATGGCTTAACTTAAGTTTCATAGTTTAGGTCTGTGGTTCATTTTGAGTTAATTTTTTGTATATGGCACAGTGTCTGGGTGCAACTTTAATATTTTTGAACATAGGTATCCAATTGTTTCAGCACCAACTATTGAAAAGGCTATCCTTTCTCCACTGAATTGCTTTTGCACCTTTGTTGAAAATTAGTTGGCCTTTTACACAGTGGGGCAAAAGAGGTTTACAATTGGTCATATGGAAATAATACAATAAATAAGCATAAACTGCATACTCACAACTGTAAACCTACATTTGCCCCACCTGAATGTGTGGTCTGTTTCTGGATTCTGTTCTATTGATCTGTTACTCTACTTTCACCAGTACCACACACCGTCTTGATTACTGTGGCTTTAAAGTAAGTCTTGAAATCAGACAGCGTGTTTCATTTTTCCAAAACTGTTTTAATTATTCTAGTTCCTTTGCATTTTCATGTAAGTTTTGGAACCAGTTTAAAGTTATATAAATAATTCTGCCAGGATTTTCACAGGAATTGAAGTTGAATTTGTAGATCAAGTGGGAGAAAACAGATCTTGATGTTTCCAGTTCCTGGATATGATATATATCTCTCCATTTTCTCAATCTTTAACTTCTCTCACCAAGATTCTGTAGTTTTCAGGATACGAATCTTGCACATCTTTTATCAGACTTGACTGTAAGTGTTAAGTTTTTATTGCTGTGTATAGTGTTTAAAATTCTTTTACTTCTACTTACTCGTTGCTGGTATATAGAAATACGTATATTTGATTTTTGTATGTTAATTATGGAACCTGCCTAATCTTTAGTTTCAGTAACTTTTTGTAGATGATTTTTCCGTGTAGAAAACTATGTTGTGAATTGAGACAGTTTTCTTCCTTTTCCATCATGTACGTCTTCTCTATCTTGCCTTATTGTGTCTGATAGGACCTACAGCTACAGTGTTGAATAGGAGCGGTAAGAGCAGAGATCCTTGCCTTCTTCCTGATCTTAGAGGGAAGGCATCCAGTCTTTTACCATTAAGTATGAGGTTAGTGATAATTTCAAATGTATTTATCTTCTTTATCAGGTTGAGGAAGTCCCCTGAGAGTTTTATCATGAATGAATGTTGGATAGGGCTATTAAAACTACTTCCTTTTTACTGTTTTAGAAGTTTGTCTCAGGGAGTTAGTTCATTTCATCTGTATTATCACATTTATTGGCACAAAGTTGTTTTTTTATCCTTCCTACTTAGTCTATACAGAGATGTATCTTTTTTATCTTCTCAAAAAAACCAAAACCTTTAACTTTTAATGGCTTTTATTTTCTCTACTTTCAGTTGTTTATTTCATTGATTCCTGCTCTTTCTCAAGTTGCTTAGTCACTAACTTGAGACCTTTTTTCTTTCTCTATAGGTATTTAGAACTATAGTTTTTCCTCTTAGCACTGTTTTTGCTGCATTTCACAAATTTAGATATGTTGATTCAGAAATACACAATTTAGTTTCCAAAAATTTGGGGATTTTCCAGAGAAAATACATTATCTGAATCCTTTACAATTTATTGAGACTTGTTTTTGTGATCCAGAATGTGTTCTATCTTGGTAAATGTCCCATGTGTACTTGGTGCCACCGGAATGTTCTGTAAACACCAGTTAGTCAACAACATTAATGAATCCTGAATATTCTTACTGATTTTCTCTACTTGTTCTTTTTTTTTCTATTTAGGATTGTATGTCCTTATCATTAGGAAATGACCTTCTTAGCACTGGTAATACTTTTTGCTCTTCAGATATTAATATAGCAATCCAGGCTTTCTTTTGATAAGTGTCAATAGAGTATAACTTTGTCTATCCTTTTACTTTTTTAAAAACACAGCTTTATAGGGATGTAACTCACATACCATATAATTCATCTATTTGAAGTGTACAAACCCATGGCTTTTAGTATGTCTCTGGAGTTGTGCAATCATCGCTCTTTCGTCAGCTCAGAAACTCTGTGCCTTCCACTCCCCCAGCAGTCAGCACTCACTAACCTACTTCTGCTTCAGTGAGTCTGCCCTCTGGACATTCCATATAAAGGGATCATGCATGTGTATCCTCTTGGAACTGGCTGGATGTGTTCAAGGTCCACCAATGTTGTAGCCTGTGTCACTACTTTTTTATTGGAGTAATATTCCATCGTATGGATCTACATTTTATTTATTTATTAGTTAACGGGAGTTTGGGGTTATAACCCTTTAAACTAGCTGTGTCTTTAAAGTGTGTTACACATAAGCAATAAATAGTTGGGCCTTGCTTTCTCACCCATTGTTACAACTCTGCCTTTTAATTGGTATTCTTAGACCACTTACATTTAATTGCTATTTTTCCATATGTCCTTCCATTTTTTAGCCCTTCTTTTGAAATGAGTATTCTGATTTTCCCCCCCATTTAACTCTTAAATTCTAACTGGATTAATATGGTTATAGTTATAAGAGGAAAATCTAATAGAGGAAATGTCAGAGTCATTTCATCGAACTCCAATTGTTTTTTTTAGGGGCTATTGCCATTTTTGTTCACAGTACATAATTGTACTGTGAATATTATTGGCATTAGATCAAACCTATGAAATGGTTTGAGGAAATTATAAATCTTTTTCATATTTGGTCTTCCTATTCAGAAACATTAGTATAATTCCAATTTTTTAAAACCACTAATTCAAGTTAAATAATTTGATACATTTATTCCAAGCTATGTGATACTTTGCTGCTATTTATAGAAGTTTTTCCATTATATTTTCGAACATTTTTTTTACTTATTTTCCTTTCTATTTTTAAAGATTTCAATCTTACAGAAAAGTTGGAAGAATAGTACACTGAGTACCCATTATTGATTAACACTTACCTCATTTGTCCTCTCTATAATCTTTTATAATTGAACTATTTGAAAGTAAGTTACTGACACTGGAACAGGGCATCTCTGACTACCTCAAGCATATTCTCCTACATAATCCAGTACCACCATCAAAACCAAAGAAATTTAACAGAAACTTTAAAGGTAAATATCAACATTAAAGTCCACATCACATTTCCCCACAAAAATGAGCTTTACAGCCAAGTTTCCCCTGTGGCTGTCCTGCCTGTTCAGTTTCCTTCACTCTCTAACAGGCCCTCCCCCATCTGCCAGTTCCCATCATATTCACATGTGTGAGAGTGCATCTGTAAACACAGTGTCACATCAGGCCTTTGGGACCAGCCGCACTCCTCACCACAGCATGATTCCCAGTGGCTGCTGCGTCCTGAGCCCCTTTCCCGGCACACTCGGCAGCCTGCTGACTTCCACCTCCAGGCCTGATGCAGGCTTCCCTCCCCGTCCCCGCCTCAGACTGAGGCCGGTGCGGCTCACAAATCCAGGCGACATGACCAGCACTGCTCTGTGCAGAATGTCCATCCCCCCAGGCAAAGACAAAGAGCCAGGGGACAGAGACACTGCCTGTCGCAGAAACAGGTACTCAGTCATCAGTTTAGAGAAACCAATTTTCTTTCCCGAAAAAAATTTGGAATTTAAAAATTTTACAGATGGAATAAAAACCACAAAATCCCAGATTTACAGTAGAATGTTAAAAATGCACAAATAGGAAAAGGAAAGAATGAAAATAAATCCAAGTCCCTTAACTTGATTTCCAACTCTGAAATTCTCCCCCCGAAACCCCTGGTTTTTGCTCCACTGGGACCTAACTGGTCACCTTTCCCTGAAAGCTCCCATCCGCCGTTTCTAGACTCCTAAGCAGGTTGTGGGTGGGAGAAGCCGAGAGGGGCCAGGCTCACCTTGGAAGGACTGTTGCTGAAGTAGTAGAAAATCTTTTCTCGAGGAGAAAACACGATTTCGTGTTTATGCGGGGAGATGTAGACGGGATGGTTCTGAGACAGCTGCACCCGGCGTGGGGAGCCTGCTCTTACAAACGGGTAGGGAGACAGCGGAGGGGCCTCCGTCTGTGAAAAAAAGGGCATTTCTCAGCTAAGCACAGTTTCTAACCGGGTCTTTTTGAAAGTGGTTATTTTTGTTGTAAGAGTGAAAAGATAATAAACCATTAGCTTTATGAATGACACCAACTAATTAACCTAAAGCAAGGCATACAAACAGCAACCATGTAAGGGCTTGCTTGTGCCAGTCCGTTTTAAGCACTTTTAGTGCATTGTGTCATTCAATCCCACACCGACCTGGTCAGCTGGGGACACTCATGCCCATTTCTTAGAGGAGGAAACGAGAGGCCTGGGGAAAGCTAAGTAGCACGGCTGCCACAGCTGCTGAGTTCCGGACGCCGGGAGCCCCTGCATTCCCTGTATTGCTGTCCCCCACAGGGAATCCAGGTACCTTCTCCTCTTGTTCAATGTGACACAACACTATCAACTGTATGAGTCACACTTTTCTGTTAGACTCCCTCCCTTTTACTTAACGAGGATTATTAATGAAACCCGTTTACATGTGGAACTGCTCACACAGAAGTGATTCCTCACCCCTCCAAAGTGAAAACAAAGTACGCAATAATCCCCGTCAAACCTACCACGTTGGCCTGTGAGTACTTCAGGGCAAATGTTTTAATTTGTTTGACGTAGACATTGTTGTAGAACTGGATGAGGTCTCCCCTCTCCTCCTCCTCCAGGTCACTGTTGGCGCCTGTGAGGCGGGTGGGTGTCGGAGGGGCGCTGCTGGGCTGTGGGACAGGCAGGGTGCTGCTGGACCTCATGACAGGACTCGAGTCTCTACTGGCTGTGGCAGGTAGAACGGGTTAAACAGAGAGACTGCCTTTATCCCATTGCATTTGCTTTTCAAAAACAAACAGCTACCCTCTCTACTTGTATAATGGCAGCAAATGGGCATGAATGCTTTTACCAGGGGGCAAAGCGCAGGCAGGTAAGACATTAAGTACTAACATCCCCCCCAGGCCATAAATGTAGGGCACAAGGAGACGGTATCACTGGTAAGTTTCACCAAGTCTCCAGAACCTGCCCCTGCAGTAAGGGGTGCAAACAATTAGGGAGGGCATTTCCACAGCATGGTTTCGGCTGGCATGCCAGACTTCCCTGAAACGCAGGCCAGCAAATTCCTGCCTGAGTCCCCTGGAGAAAAATGTTTTGCATGATGTGCCTCAAAACTATGGGATAAAGGACAAACAACGTTGCCACTAAATTTAGAATCATTTCTTCTTCCAACAAATCCTTTCCCAATAATATAGTTTATTCATAGTTTCCTTAGAAGTAATTTCATTTAGGAATCTTTAATCTTCGAGGCCTAAAGTTAATTTTATTTTGTACGTGTCCACAAAGATCCCACTTACTTCTGTCTTTGTTTAGTTCTGTTGGAGAATTCTGATGGCTTCTGCTTTCACTGCTGCCAGAATTTCTTCTTTTCCTTCTCCCTTTTATCAAAACACTTCTATACACCTTTAGGGAGACCATGAGAAGGGGACAGAAATGACAATTTATGGAATACAGCCTAGATCACATGGCCTTGACATGTGATTTAATTCTCACAACAATCCTGCGAAATAATAGTTCTCCTCCTCAGGGGAAGTTAATCAATGCAGCCAAGGTCATATGTCTGTTATGTAACAGATCCAGGGGGACACCAGGGCCTGCGGCTTGAAATTCCAAGTACAGCCTACAATGTGACAGAGCAGGATAGGACCCAACCATAAAGCCAAGACATTCTAAGCCAACCACAGATGTCACACACGCCTGCCCCTTTAAGGGAGATGAATAATATTAAAGGTAAAATGAGTCTTAAATCTTCATTAGAAGTTGTCTTGGTTAAATGTACCATATTTCCTAAATCAGACTGATAGGTGGCACAGAAACCAAACAACCTTCCAGTTTACATCTTTCCTGTGATTAGCTAAATTAAGCCGTCTGTTATTTCATGTCATTGCCTTTAGGAGAGAAGAGAACTTAAACCAGTGGTTCTCAACCTTCTGGCCCTTTAAATACAGTTCCTCATGTGGTGACCCAACCATAAAATTATTTTCGTTGCTACTTCATAACTGTAATGTTGCTACTGTTATGAATCGTAATGTAACTGATATGCAGGATGGTCTTAGGCGACCCCTGTGAAAGGGTTGTTCGACCGCCAAAGGGGTCGCGACCCACAGGTTGAGAACTGATCAAACCAAAGACTTCCTTTAAAGTAAAGGCTGGGGAAAGGCTACAGAAACAACTCGGGTTGACTTTTTGTGTTTCTCAAAGACGTGAAGCTTTATTTTCAATCCTAAGAGAAGTAAGTTACCTGGCTCCGGGCCTGTGGCTGAGTCCTGTAACAACGCATAATGTCCTGGAAGGACTTGTCCTCTTTTGTGACCTGGAAAAGAATAACAGTATTTTGTGAGAGCGATGGACTTCCAGTAACATGCTGTGAGCACTATACACTTGCTCCACAGTGAAACTGGTGAAAATTCTATTAAAATTAGTCACTTAAAATCTGCAAATGGTCCTAAGGCACATAAGTGAAGAACTATCTATGAAAGGAAACTTAAAATTCAGCAACATTAGAGGTGGTAATGGTACCTAAACCAAGACCTGGCATAACATTTCACGAGAGCGAGAAAATGGCACTTCACTTACTACAGAACCCCAGACAACTTCTACTCAGAAACTATGCAGGCAAAGAGGCAGTCAAACAACATATTAAAAGTGCTCAAAGTAAAAAATCTAAAGATTCCAGTATCCAATAGTGATCTTTCTTTTTTTTTTTTAAATATATTTTATTGATTTTTTACAGAGAGGAAAGGAGAGAGATAGAGAGTTAGAAACATCGATGAGAGAGAAACATCGATCAGCTGCCTCCTGCACATCCCCCACTGGGGAAGTGCGCGCAACCCAGGTACATGCCCTTGACCGGAATCGAACCCGGGACCCCTCAGTCCCCAGGCCGACGCTCTATCCACTGAGCCAAACCGGTTCCGGCCAATAGTGGTCTTTCAAAAATTAAAAGAAATGAATATATAATCACAGATGTCTGGGCCAATGTGTACAGTGGTTAGAGCACCAGCCCATGTACCAAACGTCGTGGGTTCGATACCCAGCCCCAGTCAGGGTGAGTATGGGAGACAACCAATTGATGTGTCTGTGTCTCTATCCCTTCCTCTCTCAAAAAAAAAATCAATGGAAAAAATCCTCAGGTGCGGATAAAGAATTTTTTTTCCCCTGAGGGTAGGGAATTATCTTTTTCCTTTTATAGTCCGAAGTCCTCACCTTTGCCATCACATAAATGGCACACATTAACAACTGGTCCAGGTGTCTGTCCATCATGAGTTCAGGACACTGAATTATGGAGAATTCAAAGCAGGTCCAGATTTTTTTCCTTAGCTCATCTGAAATATCCAGCTTAGCACAAAGATCCCTCAGGCGGACACCTGCTAAGTGGTAAACCTGGTAGATAAAAAAACCGCCTCAGAACCTGTTTATCTAACACATTCCCCAAACTCGTGACCAGTGAGAAGACAGGAAGTTACCTTTCTAAAGAACAGCGATAAGGAGCTGGTCTTCCTGGGCCTGCCGCTGCCGCTGGGTAAGGGGGGGCCTTGCTTCTGCTGTGCCCCCGGGGAGAGCTGCGGAATGGCCACCTGCCCCGGGACTTGCAAGGTGGTTCCTGCCACCTGTTGAGAGCTCAAATTCCCAGCCAGGGCCTGGGCACTGAGGGGCGGCATGGAGCCCGTCACGGCTGATGCCTGCCCCCCAACATTGACTTGGACCGGGAAGAACGTTATCCCTCCATTTTCATTGGCAATACCTGTTTGTTACAAAGAGAAAAGCACAAAGGAAATGCTGATAATACAAGGTTCCCCAGGCAGGGTTTCCAATTCCTCCCGCTCCTAACCCCCTCCCCGCTAAATGCTTGTCGCATCATCATTCCAGCCGAATCTCAGGTAACTTCCCAATGAATGCCACAGAGAAAGAACTCGCTATCCAACTCAGCCTGCCTTACCTTGTACAGGAATGGTCACAGTTTGTCCATTGTTGGCTGTGACCGTGGCTGTTGCCATGGTGACCAAAGTCTGTCCAGGAACTGGTGTGACAGGAACCGCCTCCCCAGGCACGTTCTGCACGGGGACAGCACTGACCAGGGGCTGTGGGGGCCCGCGCCCGGGTGCTCCCCTGTCAGAGGGGCTGTCGTTCTCGACGAAGAGCCGTCTTCGGGTGGAGCTGGCAGTTGGGGAGCTGTACCTCTCATATAATGTGGTTGGAGAGGTGATGCCTAGAGCCAAAAAAAATCAAACCACTTCACTCAGGGAGAAGGAGCGGACTCATCCAAGCTGTTATTAGTGCACAAAAACTAATTTAAAAGCCAACAAAAATTACATGAGTCACATCATAGTAATAATTCCACTGAACACTATTATGAGCAAAATTTAAAGAAAGATTTTTCTCTATTTGTCTCTCAGGACTCCCTTCTTCACTCCACCTTCTGCTAAATCAAATGAGGCTTTGCCCTCCACTAGTTCAGGGCCTTGCTGAGCGAGGGGCAATTTAAAGAATTGTACTATTTTTCCATGCTATTTTTAACCATATTCAATTTCTACCTGATGCTCATGTAAAATGTGATTCTGACATAAACCCACTACTTGATAAGGGGACCTGATGAATTTGATATCCCCATCTGGGAGCATTTCCCCCCGTTTTATGAATCTTCATCTTTGTCCAAATACAGATAATTACTAAAACTCAATAATGTCCTTTAGAAAGAATGGACATGCATGTTTTTTATTCAATTAAGCTTAGTTTAATTTTTTTAAAACAACTTTATTGAGAAATACAGTGTGTCCCCAAAAAATGTCTACACGTGTAGAATAATTATAAAGGCGGTGTTTATTAAAATACCGTTCATTTTCAAAATGTAATAGAATCAGCTATCACACATTTTTGGGGGACACCCTGTATAAGCCCTAGGAACGTCACTTGCAGGTTTAGATGGAAGTCAGATCCCCAGATCTTAGACCCCATCTATGTGCCTTAGTATTTAAACTTACTTCTTCCGAGCCCGCCAGTCTCGGCACGAACTTCACTCACTCTTCTGGGAGTCAAAGGGGTGCCAGCCATACACATGTCATCTCTTTCCAGGTGCTGCGGTGGCATGACCTACAAAGAATGTTCACACAGAAGGCCATTATTCAAAAAGCATTATTAAAAATACAATAATCACCTAAGGTAAAATTAAACTGTCTTGGCTCATCCCTTATTCCATCTGTCAGCTGTCTTTTCCACTGGCAGGCTTAAACATTTCAAAACCTGGTAACTAGGTACTAAATATGAATGAGCAGTCCTTACTGATGTGGAGAATTGGCGTATCAAGCATCTAAGGTAGAGACACTTGATTAAGAGATCACGGTAGAACACTGAATTCTTCCCCTGTCACTGAAAACCTGGGGCAAGCACACAGTCATTCTGATTCTTGTCTCCTATTGGATGCAGGTGCTTAACCGCTCACTCTGCACGAGGAAGACATGAAGTGTAACTGTGCCCTGGGAAGAAGGTGGTGAGCAGACTAGATACTGCTGTACTTTCCTTAGAGAAAGACCTTACAGTCGCTCACAAACCTCTTCACAGGTAGGGACTCGGTTGTCATTCTCTCTAATCCTGTCCCAGAGCGGAGACTCTGGCTTCCAGGCCAGATGATCCAAGATCTGTTCTTCAATCTGATTGAGGTGTTTCACCACCTCTCTGCAGAGGCCATCTTCTGCTCGGATGAATACTTCTATCACCTGAAATGAAGAAAAGGCCCTGGTTTAATAATTTTAAAAAAAATAATATAATAAAAAAAATATATGTATAAAAAAAGGGTAACTTTTTTTACGTATTTATAGATATAACAAAGACAATTTATAAAAAATTGTAAGTTTAAAGAATAGTACTATTTTGAAACAGCTGCTCCTCCCTTCTGCCTTTATAATTAATATTTAAATTGCATTTATGAGTTACGTAAAATCTTTTCATAGTGGTGTATTTCAACATTTAAATGAAAGAATGTCTTATCTATTGAGAGTGAAACATTACTCTTTAAATTTTGTATTTAAAAACTCTAAAAATTCAATCTCTGCCACTATAAAAACGTTTTGACTGCTGTAGCTGAATTAAATAAATTCATATACTCAATATCAAGAAGGAAACGACCAGTCAATGCCCTTCCTCTGTGCCTCTATAATCACGTCAAAGAGGATTTTTGTTTCTGAAAGACACATTCAATACTATTTAAATTCCATAAAAAAGATTGCTCTGTAAGATAAGCTAGTGATAGGTTTGCTATTTTTTTAAAAACCTTAAGCTCATAAAATGAAAGTATCTTAAAAGCCTTTATGTAATGAAAGGAATAAAATGAAACTCGCTAAGCATAGGTCTTTATTGCACAGTAAAAGAATTTATATAGTTCTTAGGACTCTATTTCTTCTCTGCTCCCCAAATACAGAAATTATTAATAAATGTAATTAAAAATAAATATACTTAGATATTAAAATGAACTAGATGGCTAACAATAGGAAATTGGTCTCATCTATAATTTTCTCATTATTATCAGATCTTTAAAAATACCTTATAAAAGTGATAAAGTGGCACATCAAATATCTCGGTAATGAATGGAAAATTCCCAGGAGGCTTATAAGAAAAAGTGACAACCTCGAGGCAGCAGGCCAAGAGTGATCTGTGGAATGCATCTTGTTCCAGAATGCTCTGTAAAGCAGTTATTAACATGCAGAAACATTAGTCTACTCTGATAAGACATTTTATACCCAGTCAAGTTAAATAAAAATACCAAAAAGTCTTATTCTCTGAATTAGTGAGTAGTATGTGCTTCTTTTCTTACAAAACTTTTAACTTTATAAATAAGTCCATTTTTTAGCAACTTTCAAAAATCTTATATATCATGAAATATAGCTAATACAAAAAATTACATCCCTAATTAAAATATACATACACTCTGATGCTTAGAAGACTAATGATCTGGAAAGATGTTACACACTAGCATTACAGTCAGAGGCCACTGTCATAAAAAGATGGCTGGAAGGAGGACAGGTGACTTGGCTAGATGGTCAACATGCTTATTCAGGGTGACATAATCACAGATGATTTTCACATGTACTTTTTCTTTGCTTATTTATTTCCTAAAATTATATATTTTTTAAAACTAAAAAGTTATATAGACACAAAAAGCACAGCCAACAAGAGCAAAAAATAGGTAAATTAGACTTCATTAAAATTAAAACCTTTGTGTATCAAAAAACACCATCAATGATGTGAAAAGACAACCCAAAGAATGGGGGCAAATATTTGTAAATCAGATATCTGATATAATTTATACTGAGAGTATATACCAAAAAGAATTGAAAGCAGAGACTCAAATAAATACTTGTACACCAATGTTTATAGCAGCATTATTCATAATAGCCAAAAGGTGGAAACAACTCAATGTCCATCAACAGATTAATGGTAAACAAAATGTAACATACACATATATGTGGTGTGTATGCACACAATATTATTCATCATTAAAAAGGAATAAGATTCTGACACATGCTACAACATGGATGAACCTTGAAAACATAATGCTGAGTAACACAGGCCAGACACAAAAGAACAAATATTGTATGACTATCTAAGGTACCTAAAATAGGTAAATGCATAGAGAAGGAAGAACAGAAGTTACCAGGGGCTAAAGGGAGGAGTGAGTGGGAAGTCATTATTTATAGGTATAAACTATCAGTTTGGGATGATAAAAAATTGTGAAGATGGCTAGTGTTGAGGGGGATGCACAACATTGTGAATCGTTAATGCCAGTGAACTGCACGCTGAAAAATGCTAAGATAGCATATTTTATGTATTTTTTACTACATTAAAAAATTTTTGAAAAATACGTTCCTTAGGTGAGTATACAGGTATCTACTTACTATCAACCGCTAAACTACTGTAATTCTTCTGTATGTGTTTCAAAGTTTAAAAATTTGTCATAAAACAGTCTTTTAAATTCATACCACCATATTTTTTTAATATATTTTATTGATTTTTTTTTTTACAGAGAGGAAGGGAGACGGAATAGAGTCAGAAACATCGAGGAGAGAGAAACATTGATCAGCTGCCTCCTACACACCCCCTACTGGGGATGTGCCTGCAACCAAGGTACACGCCCTTGACTGGAATCGAACCTGGGACCCTTCAGTCCGCAGGCCAACGGTCTATCCACTGAGCCAAATTGACCAGGGCCCACCATATTTTTATATATTAAAAAAGAAAAGGAACTAGGTACAAAGAATTAGAACAATTATAGGTCAATTTTATAATTTTCTTTAAAATGTTACTTAAAAAATTAAAATTTTTTTGATACAATTGAAAGTAAATATCACTTGTTTAAAATCAATGTACATTTTTTATTAGTAAAATCTAGGAAAAAGAATTATTTCAGCTAACCCTACCAGTGTGGCCCATGAACTAAGAGGTCCCTGATTCTGTTCCCTGTCAGGCACAAGCCCAGGTTGCAGGCTTGATCCCCAGTAGGGGGTGTGCAGGAGGCAACTGATTGATGTGCTTTTCCTCTCTCATTGACATTTCTCTCTATCCCTCTCCCTTCCTCTCTAAAATCAATAAAAAAGAATTATCTTAGCCAAGAGAAATGGCTGAATATTTATTAAAAGTCCTGCTGAGTCAATACTCAATTTATTCTTGCTATAGAAAGAAGGCTTGATAAAAAAACCCATGTTATTTAAAAACTCAGTTAAGATTAAGTCTGAGTGTTTTAACCCTTAACTAGTTTTACTACCCACAGAAGTTGGAAGTTGTAATACATGGCCTGCTGCAGCAAGGCACTGAATGGGGGCTGCAGGTGAAAGAACTCGGAACCAGCCATAGCTGGTTGGCTCCGTGGATAGAGTGTCGGCCTGTGCCTGAAGGGTTCCAGGTTCCATTCTGGTAAAGGGCACGTGCCCAGGTTGAGGGCTCCATCCCCAGTCGGGGGCGTGCAGAAGGCAGACAACAATGATTCTCCCTCATCATTGATGTTTCTATCTCTTTCTCCCTCTCCTTTCCTCTCTGAAATCAATAATATATTTAAAAAAAAAGAAAAGAACTCAGAACCATTATTCATAATAGCCAGTTTCCTTAGGTGCCAATGTTGTTCCCTCAAGGCCACGTATCATTTCTCTTGTTCAATAACGGTGTGTTTTCTTCTTTTGGTGGCTAGGGCTGACAGGAAAGCACATTTTACTGTTCTGATTCAATATGTTGGATATTTACTCACAGATAAATCCATGTCTCCCAGTCTCTTTTGTTCCTGCTCAATAATGGATTCTAATACTTTATAGTAAATCATCTCTGCAAAACGAAAGTGTCTGCTGGCAATTTCTGCAAAATAAAAGAACACAACAATCACATGCAAAGAAAAGAAACGTGAAAAATGAGGGCCATCCCATCCCCTGCCCACAATATAAAATTTAAAAACCCATACACTTCCTACAGTTGCTATTTCAATCATCCCTAAGATTCCTTAATTTTTCTAAAATGTGAAATGAAATTTTCACATAAATAACTGGAATTTAATGAGTCCATGAAGATTCACATCATTCTTATTCTGTTGGGAGGTGTGAGCAGAGCAGCGCTATGCTGGGAGGCATACAGTTGGTTACTATTCCACTCATACTTGGTTTTAATTGAAGACCTCAAAACACCTAGCACAGGTCTGGGCAGGAAAACAGCTATGTCTTCTGTTTTTACTTTTTTACATTTAATATTTCTACATTTAATATCCAGTCTACAAATGAAAACAAAAATTTTCCAAATGAAAAAGTACCAGAAGGTCAACATAATAAAGACATCAGAATAGCCCTCGCTGGTTTGGCTCAGTGGACAGAGCATTGGCCTGCGGACAAAAGGGTCTTGGGTTCGATTCCAGTTAAGGGCACAAGCTCAGGTTGCGGGCTCGATCTCCAGTGTGGGATGTGGAGGAGGCAGCCAATCCATGGTTCTCTCTCACATTCATGTTTCTCTCTCTCTCTCCCCCTCCTTTCTTCTCTCTAAAAAGCAATGGGAAAAATATCCTTGGGTGAGGATTAACAAAAGAAAGTAAATAAAATAAAGTTTCTTATTGAGAAGGGCCCAGAAATCACCGGCTGACATAAAATTGGCCTTCAACCTAAACGCATAAATCTTTTCTTCATGTTTCTGACTCAGTTACCATAAAGGACTCCATGTAGTTAAACACCAAGATGAAAACAATAAAGATAATATTAAGCTTCACCTTTAGCACAATTACTGAATTCCTCATCTGGCTGGGAATGCTGAGAATATATTTCATACATTTCTTTCAATCTGTTGGCAATAGCCTGGGTTGGATCTCTAGAACATTTCCTAAAAAATAAAAAGAAATTATCTAATTTAAAGGTCTTGCCGAGTTACAAAGTGATAAGCTGTTTACAACTCTGTATTTGTACTAACCTGTAAATATAAAATACTTTGAACACAAACTATACACTCACCCATACTTCTTTGATAAAGGTGTTGGTATTACCATTTTCAGTGGGAAAAAAAGTATTGTGTATAGTTGTATCTTCTCTGCAGTAAGTTTAGCAACCTTAACCTCTGTGCCTGTTTGATGTCCGTGACTGGACCCCACGTCTGCAATCACTGCTGACCAACTAACTGCCCTCAACTGTTCCTCTAGAGGGCACACAACGCCCAGTAAACTCCTGCAGAAAACAGCTGACGTGTAAGTAATCTCTACCACAGACTCAGATATACCCTTACTGGTATTCTACATCGTTCCCTGAAAACCAAATTATCTCATTTTTTACTTATTTATTTTACTAGAAAGACAATGTATGTCCAATGCAGAAGCATACAGAGTATCACCATGTGTGCTTTTGTAACAACTAAGTTTTTATCTTGATCATAAATATACATATTCATTGTAAAAATGTAACAAGTTTAGAAAACTATAACCGATTTTTGTTTCTTTATAATCTTGCTAGAGGTAGCTACTGGATATGCTATACAAACAGAATTTTATTTATGAACACACACAGGTACCTTTTACAACAACAAAGCCCTTCGGCTTTACCTAGTACCTGCTGGTATTTCAAGACCATGGATGGTATTTACGATTAAAGAAGCTGGTACTTCTTGTCAGAGATTGTACAAAGATTTGGGAGACAGAGATTCAATCAGGCTTCTAAAATGTGTTTATGAAATACTTCTGAATTCCAGGCAAACAAGGTCCATTTCAAAAACATGACTCAGGGAGAGGTCATACAGACAGATACAGACAGAGCCTGCTGGGTGTTAATTACAATCAAGTTTATGAAAAAAGGAGACTTCATGAAAATGTGAAGGGAACTCAGTCAGCTTAGGTATGTAATGAGTCCAGCTATGAGTGGGGAGTTACTAATATGTGTATAAAGGGCCTTCTTCTATCAGATCACCTGAAAGAAAATGGGTCCCAGAGGGCCTATGTCATCAAGTCATAAACTTTTAGGACTAACGTCCTTTTCAGGCTAAGGGTGCTCTGTAGAGTTACAGAAGTTACAGTGCTTTCACACTGGCTGTGCATGTACCCGTCTACCTTTTCTAGTAGGGACCCACCCTTCCTTCAGAAATGTGCCCAGGACCCATCCTCTCCATGAAGTCCTCTGACAACTACCATCTTCACTGATCCCCTTCCCTGACGTCTTAAGACAGAACAGCTGGTGGCGTAGTCTGGTGCCTTATTCTCCAGGGTCTAGTGCTGGTCTTTCTGTTGGTTCTAAGCCACCCGGTCTGTGTGCTCTGTGAGAGCAGCGTGAAAAGAATAAGACCCTGAGGGAAAATGATCTTCTAACCGTACCTCCTCTATTGCTATGTCTTCTGCAGACAACAGCTATAAAATCAGTAATGAGTAAATTAAGGCACAAGTAGTGAAGAATTAAAGTAAAAAATTAGAAAAATAGTCAACAGCCACATGTAGAAGGCAGGAAGGACTCACGCTGACCTCAGGATCTGCCCCAGCCTCTCACTGGGTGCGTGTCGGAGGCCCACCAGCATGGTGTGGAGACGGCTCAGGCTGTGTGTGGCTGCAGAGACCGGAGTCACACAAGGGCTGCTATTATCCTTAATGTACCTCACCCCAGTGAGCGGCGTGGAGATTCTAAGTGCTTTAGACTAAGGGGAAGAAAGAACACTATTTTAGCTTGGAAAGACTCAATTACTTCGCAATCGGGAACTGAAGGCAATCAGACTTTGTATTATTAACAAATTCTAGTGATTCGCATATCCCCATCTTGGAATTTAGACATGGCACCTCTACAGCCACCATGATCCGGTGAGGACGTGTGAAAGAACAGTCTGCATTTCAGCTAACTCAAATTTCGCCTCTTGGAAGATAAATCTTTAAGATAACGCGTATTTCCCTATGACCCCTCCTTCAAAACGTAAGCTTGAAGGCAAAAACAAGCATTAGGAAATGTAGACTGTCTTGGAGAAACAGCTAGCACCTACTGCTGTTTTTGTAAATACTTAACGATTGACAAAAGGAAACTGAAATCAATCTGGCCCAGTGAAATCCAGGATTTCACAGAAGTCCCCTAACGAGCACGTCTGCTTCCGGGAGAGGCGAACCACCGCTGCGAGGTGCGGGCAGCGCCTGGCGCGGGGAGCCCTCCTGCCCGCCTTCGCCCCGGGCCCTGTGCTCCGGCACAGCTGCCCCAGCGGGCACAGAGCTTCACACAGAGCAAGTCAACGTTCTTGAACATACACATGAAAAAGGCATGACCTCATGTCAAAGAACTGAAGCATGACTGCATGTGCTAATAAAACACCTCTTCTAATTTTTCCAACAAACGCTTAAAGGTTTAGATAGCCTAAGCGTGTTTTTTAATATTCAAGATAAAGTGTATTTCCCCCTCTCATCCATGTTTCTATCTCTTTGTCCCTCTCGCTTCCTCTTTCTAAAAATCAATAAAAAACATTTTTCAAAATGGAGCTAACTCTTAGTTAAGGTAACCACGAGGGGCATGTTCTTTTTCACAATGGGAGCAAGCAGAACGCACACACGATCATCAGAACAGACCAGGACCTGAGCGTGTGCCGGCCCCTCTCCTGGGCTCCGCTCACCTTGTCCAAGTGCTGCTGCAAGATGGTCTTCATCGGCACCCCCTCGGCAGGCTCCGCGCCCGGCCCGGCACCCAGAGACCTGGAGAGCGCCCCCATGTCCTCCTCCGCGTCCTCTCCAAGAAACACCCGCTCATCTAAGCTCCCAACAGTCAGAACGTGCTCCTCGTAGGCCCTATTGATGGCTTTCCTGGGGGGGGGGGGCAAAATGCGCGCTCAGACAACTGCCATTTCAGCCCGTGCTTCGGTCCGCTCAATGCTGTTCTCTTTTTATTCACCAGCCCTCACCATAAGAGCCGAGGAGTGTCTGCACTGTGCTCACCCTCGCACACAGCACACCTGCCTGGTCAGTGTGGCTTCCGGTGAGCAGCCTAACGCCCCCTCCCGCTGCTCCCGCACCTTTCTAGACCTCAGCACCCCCACGTGGCACCTGTACCGTTCCCAAGGAATTTACTTCAAAAATTATGACCCAAGTTTAACTATGACAGCTTTCAGGAACAGCAGTACAATTTTTAACAAGTTCAAACACGTTCTTGGAGTACCAGCTGACCACTGAACTCTGAGGTTTTCTGAGCAGACAACTTTAAATATTATTCAGAGCAGAAGTACTCACAAATTCTCTCCAAAGTTCGCAGGCTCTAGAAACCCTGTAAGGTTTTCTTCTTTTCCCTTAAGGAGCTACGAAGAAAGAAAAGGTCCTGAAGCCATCTATTAAGTCAACTCCTTCCCAGAAAGTACTTCCACGGCTGCTCACCCACCTTCTTCTGGTAGAGCCTCCGTATGTAGGGCTTCCAGAAGTGCTCCTTTATGCCCTTCGCTTCCAGCACGAGGCCGTCTTTGTGTAGGGAGCAGAGCTTCTCGATGACACAGGGCGGGTCGGAGGAAGGCTTGAAGTCCTTAGCATGGCCGTCTTCCGACAGGCCTGTGACCGACAGAACAGAGGGACCAGGTGGCACTTAACACACCAAACTGTAGTCAAGTAAGACACACAGCTGCAGAGGCCAATCAGCAAGTGAGGTGCCATATGCGGATAAAGGAATCGGGGTATAGGCCTAATTTAACTCTAAATACACCCCAAGAACAGGAAGTAGAGGTAAAGTGTACCAGTCCTCAAAAGATTTAGTTATTCAATCATGTATCTAGAGATGGTTAAAAAAAATAATTTTAGTATTATGCTATAACTAAAAAACACAAATACATAACTTTATAAATAAGTTTCATATTCAAATAAAAGTACCACTTAAAAAATTACTGTCCAAAGTATGTACTTTAACTGAATTATATGTGTTTATCATAACTAATTTATAGCTAATCTTGGCCTAGTCTCAGTGGGAAAAAATGAAGGGAAGCAGCTCTATAGAATTATAATGGAGTTGGGAAGGAAATGGGAGAAAAGACAGAATACAAAGAACATGAAATTTACCAATCCAGAAGCAACTAACAGTAACTAACGCCACTCGCTTTAAATATCTACCCTGAGAGTCAGACAAGCTGAAATTTTCATTGTAACCACCCCCAAACGGACAGTCCCTCAATCCTACCATGGTATTCTTCAAATAGCAGCATCATATACACTACCAGCTCAACAAATACTTTCTAGTATTTGCTTTGTATATCATGATTTGGTCTGTTACTGTCTATCATTCATAGAAATTACATACCTTAAAGCCTACTAAATGCATAGCCGAACTAATTAGCATTTCCACACAGCGGGGTGTGTGTGTGTGTGTGTGTGTGTGACTTTAGTAGCTAAATACGGCACCATGTGCTCCAAGGGGACATGAGTGACAGTCTGCGAAACAGCCTGCCTGGCTGAGGGAAAACGCTGCTCCTGCTCACGTCCCCCTGAGGTGAACCGCAGATACTTTTAAATCATCTTGGCCCTAGAAAGGCCTGAGAGGGCTGAGGCCCGCCCTGCGCCCCATGGGGAAGGCTGGGTGACTCCACAGCGCCACGCAGTGTGCCCCGCCCTGCTACTGTGGCCCAGGCCTTGTCCAGGTGGCTCTGATGGCGCCCAGGAAGTCGGAGGTGTTCAGGCAGTGCTTGTTCAGCTTCAGGCTGCTGAGACCAGGGATGCAGCCACCAGGCCCCTGGGCAGGGCTCTGCTCCCCAGTCTCCACCCGCCCTCTCCAGGGTCTGGGAAAACCTGATGAACTCTGTTCCCGTCCAGCTTCCCCCCGTGCTCCAGGCTAGGCGTCAGGCAAAGACGCTGGCGATGGGGTTGGTGCTGGTAGGGCGGCCCTTCCGGTGCTGCTGAGACGGGTAGGGAACCATGCCATGAGCGGCCTCGATCGTCTTCCTGTCCAGGCAGAGCAGCACAGATGCCATCGGGCCAAGGGAGCCTTGGGCAGGATGTCTGACTGCCCATCTCCATCCTAGTTCACAGCCCACACAAAGCCACCTGAAGACCTGGGAACCTGAGCCACCTGTCATCAGAGCTGGTGCTCGTACCAGCTCGTGGTCTCGCCTAACCTGGACTTTGTGCTTCTCAGAGGTCTCCTGGAGGCGGCCTTGGGGCGCCCGTCCTAGGCTTTCAGAACGGTGCCCTGGTGCCCATGTACAGTGACCACTTCTGGATGGCATACTGGAAGCCGCTGTGTGCAGAGCCCAAGGAGGACGTGTGGGTGCTGTGCATGCCCGTGCCCACGCCAACGGGAGAAGCTGCACAGCTCCCACTCCTTGGCCCCGCTGCCTCCTTCGGGGCGAGGACCATCTCGAAGTGCCAGCCCGTTCGGCCACAAAGTCGGTGGCCTGCTATCGGTCGCATGGGCGGGCCTTCCAATGGTGATGGGCTTGGTCCAGCCAAGGACAAGGCAGGGATGTTTTCGCAGAGGGTGGGAGACAGGCCGTGGAGGATGCTCCAGCTGGTCCCACTGGAACTCTTCTGCAGGGGCCTTGTCAGGGGCGACGATGGCACACTGACAGCCACACTGTAACTCCTGGGTGGCCAAGGCAGACCCGATGGGTCCTGGTCATCAGTCTGGTCAAGGTTTGGGCCCAGGTCGAAATATGTACTTGAGCTGGACATCCACGTGGGGCAGGACGAGCTTCTCTTTGATGAACTGCCAGATACGACAGGTCATCTCATTGCTGTCCACCTCCAGCACCGGCTTAGCCACCTTGACCCTGTTGTCGGCAGAGTGGCGCCACGGCTGGTCCTGCAAGTTGGGGCCTGTCGCCCAGGCTGGCCCAGAGCCCAAGTCTCTGCCGAATCAGGTCGACCTGCAGGGAACCAGCCATCCCCAGCGGGCGAGCAAACGAGCCAGGCAGGCGGGACCCGAGCGCCAGCCACTGCTTGGGCTGCCGGGCAGTGCACTGCCCAGACCTGGCGGTTTCCATACAGCTTTTATTTTAAGAGCTAAAAATTATTTTTCCTTATTTTAGAACCATAACTACTCCTCTTTAGCAAAAACCTAAAATGAAGATTCTTTCAGTGAGTCCGTTCTGACCTCCTACAGTGTCCCGGCACCACGCCTGCCAACGCAGAAAAATACCCGCTTAAAGTCACCTTCCCCACTCCAGAGTCCTAGTCCTGCTTCTCGCAGAGCGTGTACTTCAGAGCGATCTAGTGTCACCTGAGGCTTAAACTCTGTGATACTTGCAATTGCTTTTCCCATAAATGCTGCTGCAGGGACTTGACCCCGGTTCCCAGTCCCCTGGAGAGCAGGGTGGCGGAGCTTTCAGAGCGCCGTGGGCTCTCCTGCGAGGAACCTGCACTGTGTATACCCTCCCCCGAGTGCACATGATGGAGAAATGTGGGCTGCCTAATAGTCTTTGATGGACATCTTACCTTTAAAATCAGGGTTCACAAGTTCTTTGCGATTGGAACATTGCAGGGCATTTCCATAAACTAAGTCCAAAGCACACAGCAGCAGATGGTAAGAGTTGACCAAGTCATCACTAATCATGGGGAAATTGCCTATACATTATAAAGAGAGAGTTAAAAGTGCATCAACTTTACAGTCTGCTAAAAATAATTTCTTCCTCTAGTTAAAATGACGTTATACAACACTGTACAAAACAGAATCAAGTGGTACAGAAAGTGTTTTGGCAAATTTACATCTTGAAATATTACTTATAGTTTAATAAGTTTCTTAGAGTTTAATGAAAACTAAAACTTTACTAAAAATGCCATTTGTTCACTCAGTATTCGTTAAACTAGCATTTATTTAATGCCTACTAGCTGACCAAAATTTTATAATCACCAGTCTGTCTTTTGAAAATTCAGAACACCAACAACTTTATAAATTATCTCAAACTGTAAGAAATTGTTTTATATGAAAATATTTTTCTGTCAAGAAAATCAACAGAATCACATGTAAACAGCTAAAAAAATTATTCACGTAATTATTTTTTCATGTATGTACTTTAAACGACCATAAGCTATAATCAGACTCCTAACAGTAACATTTAAAATACTTTTCTACATATGAACACAAACTCATACAAATGAATGCAACAGGATCACAATGCAAGATATTTAAGATCTAGAGCTAATATCCCACAAAATTGTTGATGCCAGATAATGGAGGAAAAAAACTGAAACCATGTCATTTATGCAGTGCTGGATTAAGTCTGGCATTGAAAACAATTTTTACAGGCAGTAACCAGCTTCATTATTTTTAGAAATTAAGGAGTAGTTCTACTCTTGTTAACTCGAGCATATCCCTTTTTGCACTAAACACTGCTTTTTCATATATATGCTTCATGTTGACATTTTTATAACATCAAATGAATTCAATTTAAATACCTGGCAGACATCCGAAATATTTCTAAACCTCAACAGTTTCCCACTTCACGCCTACCCAATGCGCACGTGCGTGTGCATGCATACACATGCATACACACACACACACACTCATACATACACACACACACACTCGCACTCACACACACACTCATATGCACACACACACACTCATATGCACTCACACTCACACACACTCTCACACACACACTCACACACACACTGACTCACACACACACTCACACTCACACACACACACTCACACTCACACACACTCACACTCACACACACACACTCACTCACTCACTCTGCTTGGTTTCAGGCTTTTTCTCTCCTTCCCACCCAGAAAACTTACCACTTACCGCCCCATATGACGATGAGGAATTCTATTTTGTACCGATGGAAACATTCAACAAATCAACTTAAATAAATTAATGAGGAAAAAAATATTTTTCTGTTGTGAGAAAGGCAAATGATGATCAATAGGTTACATATCACATTGCTATAACCACAGTAACTTGCTTGGTTCTGCTATGGATACGTTTAACACTAAATGTACTCAGTTCCTCAGATGTGAAACAGGAAGTGGTAGCATCTATGGTTTCAAGCAACAGAGCCTGGACTTGTGGCTGGTGTGCCCTTGCCGCAGGCGGAAAACCCCAGCACCGCGACCTCTAAGCAGCCCTGACATGCCCTTGAAGATTAGAATCCAAGTTAAACTCCAGGACTGTCTCTAGGTGACATACTTCACATTTCACATCCCAGCTTCAGAGTACATCTCACTGAGATAGTTCATCTTCAATCAACAAAGCAACCCGCTGAACCCCCAGCGCTGGCTTATTTACAGGAAAGAGAAGATGTGGGTTTGCATACAAAACAGGGCGCGGCACCTGTGGGTCTCCAGACCGCACTGCCCGCGGGGGGACCAGCCCAGGCGTGTCCCCGGCGTGGCCCGCCACGGGAAGCCGACCAAGGCCAAGGCACACAGTGGGCTTATTTATCAAGGAGGGGGCCATCTGGGTGCCCACACCACACGGTGCAGGGAAAGCCATGAGAAAGGCGGCTAGAGGGGAGTGCCCCCCGCCCCCAACCGGTAAGGACATCAAAAGCTGGTATAAACTGCTCTCATAGGAAAGACCCTAGAGCAGGGGTCCTCAAACTGCGACCCGCGGGCCACATGCAAATACAAACATTGTATTTGTTCCCGTTTTGGTTTTTTTTTTTAAATATATTTTATTGATGTTTTACAGAGAGGAAAGGAGAGGGATAGAGAGCTAGAAACATCGATGAGAGAGAAACATCAATCAGCTGCCTCCTGCACACTCCCCACTGGGGATGTGCCCGCAACCAAGGTACATGCCCTTGGCCAGAATCGAACCCGGGACCCTTGAGTCCGCAGGCCGACGCTCTATCCATTGAGCCAAACCGGCCAGGGCCTGTTTTGGTTTTTTTTGCTTCAAAATAAGATATGTGCTGTGTGCATAGGAATTTGTTCATAGTTTTTTTTTAAACTAGAGTCCGGCCTCCAACGGTCTGAGGGATAGTGAACTGGCCCCCTGTTTAAAAAGTTGGAGGACCCCTGCCCTAGAAAATCAAAAGAGACCACAGTCCTGGGTTGTGAGGGAGCAAAGGCTGTTCAGAGCAAGCACTTACTGACTGAATAAGATAACAGCTAACTGCAGAGAAAGCTAGGACACCCTGGGTGATCAAGTGAGACCAAAATCCACACAAGGGCAATACAATTCTTCATAAATAATTTGGAGGGTGCATTTACTCTCAATTACACATATGCCATGAAAGGCATAAACAAACCAAAAATCCTGGAAGGCAGACATACCTGCCCACGAGCAAGTGACAACATTAGCATCACACGTGATGCCACAGCAAGCGAACGGTGGCAGCAGGGCCGAGCCAGGACAGCAGTCTGCAGGCTCCAAGCCTTTCTGCACCTCCTGCTGTGATCACGTCACCTTTGCCTCCTCTGAAGAAACATTCAGTGTGATGGGAAGCAACACATCGAACAGCTAAATTTTGACAGAAGATTCTTTTCAATGAAGCACGCAGCCCAGGGGAGGAAGGGAGAGCTTTCAACTAGCTAGCCAGGAGGGACCAGTATAATCCGACGGGTCAAACGGCAAGACAATGGGCCTTCACTTCCAGCATGAAACCAAGAGCTGGGAGATCTGGATTCAAATCCCAGCTTTGTTTCTGGGCCTCACTTACCTACTCTTGAAAGCAAGTATGTTGGGGTAGTTGATCTAATAATGAGAATCTCTTTTATTTATGAAACTCCTGCAGCTTTATGATTTTTACTTTAACTTTGCATTTTATTGGGCTATCTTCATGGCAAAGGCAGTCTATATAGTCCAGAAAAAAAAGTATGTGACTTATGTAACTGTACTTCCTTTTCTTCTTTAGATTAATAAGCATCATTTCTACAGAGAAATACAGACAGGACAAAAAAAATCTTTTCTTACTGAATGCAGACCTTGGGTAGTTGAAGTGAGATGAGAAAAAAGGGAGAGAAAATAAATAGCATCTAAAGGTACTGATCGGGCCTATTTATCTGAACAAGATGCAGAAAACAATCTGAGCTGCTGAGCATGCTCAGTCCCGCTCAACTGAGTAAGACTTGTCTCATGGAGAACACAGCTCCAGAGAAAAGCAGAGACACACTAACGCAGTAGTTCTCAATCGTGCCTGCACATCAGAATCGCCTGGGAATCTTTTTAAAATCCTGATTTCTGGGCCTCATCCTCCGGAAATTCTGTTTCTTTGTTACGGGGTGGGGCCACAACGTTAGTGACAAAGAAACAGAATTTCCAGAGGATGAGGCCCAGAACTCAGGATTTTAAAAAAGATTCCCAGGTGATTCTAATGTGCAGCCAAGGTTGAGAACCACGGCACTAATGTGTTTTCAGTCCATAATTCAGAAGAATCGGTTTGGATAGAAAAAGACACCTTATAAGAACAGAATTTAAAACTTTTCCATTTAATAAGAGACGTTTTGGATCTTATAAAGAAATCCAAAAGACTTTTATGAAAAGACAATACTTAAAAAGAGAACCTGTGACTAAAACCATTGAGAAATTTTTCAGTGAGAATCTTTTCCTGATGCACATTATAGGTTGACAAGAGTAGTACCCAAACATTTAAATAAACTAATACCTCGATAAATGCTATTCTTTTCTTACCTTTCGCATATATAAAAAGCACCCAACAAAAGTGGAAAACTTCAGACACGGTACAGGGCTGTCGCCTGTGGGGAGAAAGAAATCAGAAGGTAACAGACGAATTCGTGAGACACCACAGATGCCTGTAACTTAGGGGAGAAACCAAACCCCAGTCAGACGCAGTGAGAGCAGACTCGCTCCGCAGGGAAAAGGTGTAAGAAGCTCTACTCCCACCCACGTTGGTAGGATGAGCTGGGACCAGGAAAAGAGCTCAGCTCAGAAAGAAGTTCTAAACAGCCACAAAGGCTTTTGGAGGCCAAGAAGGTCGGGCAGAAAACAAATGAGTAGCGGCAGTTCTATTAGCGACACCAGAAAGGCTACCACTGCTTTAAGACCCACGAACGCAGTCAGATATCCCCCCCAATGTTTCCCCTCCATCATTGCTGCTGAAATGTAAACCCTCTGTCACTAAAAACATTCCAGGCTATTTATATCAAGTCCCACGGGACTTCTTCATGTAAATTCGGGGCTTCCTATCATTCCTGGCACTTCCATTATTAAGCATCTGTTGTATTTTGCCACGTTGTCTGCTCGGAGGTTCAGACCTGTTTTGAGCTTGGCTTTTCTGCTGAAACCCTGCTGAGGTGCAGATAAGACATCTGTTGCCTCCACAGCCCAATAAACGCATTGTCATTGTAACACAGCGCTCCAGTGAGAAGAACCAGAGTCTGAGGCTTAACCCCGCGCTGTCACTCCGGACAAGCACTCAATGCCAGGGCCCTGCCTTAAGAAGCAGCTCCCTGGCCACAGGCGGTGATAAACGATCTAGTTTTGATGGCTGCCAAGAGAAAAGCCAAACTTTTAGCTTAACACGCAAGCCACTCTGAAAACTGGCTCTGTAAGGTGAGGGCCCAAGAGCCAACTGCTTAGAAGGCTTGACCCTCACTGTAGTGGTCCCCTTCTCCGCACAGGGTTCCTCCAAGACCTCTGGGGGAGTCTTGAAACTGCCATAGTACAGGACCCTACATATTCTATGCTTTTTTCCTACATATACACACATGCCTTTTCGCTTAATGGAAACCATTTTTACGGCTTCTCTTTGGCATATCTGAATTGCCTGCATCACTAACCTTGTCCTTTGGGGCCATTATTGATGTAAAATAGGGTTAAAGTGATACCACGTCAGGCATCTGATAACCAGAGACTGCAACTAGGCGGGGTGGGGAGTGTAAGCTAGCCACAGGGATGAGTCACATCCCATGGGACAGAGGTGATTTCAGCGTGCTACTCAAAATGGCACAGTTTAGAACTTAGGAATTCTTTATTTCTGGAGTTTTCTAGAAACTTTAATATTTTCAGACCACAGTTGACCGTGGGTAACTGAAACCAAGGAAAGGGAAACTTCAGATAAGGAGGGGACTGTTTTATCTCCCAATTCACCTACCGAAATCCTTCCCACCACTGAAGACCTTGCTTATTCCACGGAACCTAGCTGACTGGCCCATCCCCCAGAGGTTTATCTGGGCCTCCGAAGTCCTACATGTCTATTACCTTTTACATCTCTGTACACCTCCTCTCCCCTGTACAGTAAGCCCTCAAAAGACAGTGACTGGGTTTGTTTTTTTAATACTTGTGTCCTACGTTACACGTCACACAGTAAAGTCTCAATAAGCACGCAGTGGCAAACTTCCAAAGGCTGGTGTGGGTGACACACACTGCAGAGTCAGTACAGGCAGACTATGTGAGTGGCAGTAACAGCCCCGCACTTCGACCTCGGCCAAATTACTTCACCCCTCAGGGCTTATTCCCTCACCTCTACCAATAGTGTCAACCTCATAAATGCGCCATAGGGATTCATTACAATAATATACGTTTAAGGCTTAGAAGAGTCCCTATCTCAAAATACTCACTAAATGGTATGCATTATCATTACTATTAGCCAAAAGTACTAATAAAAAGTATACCGGGTAAATATATATGTAAAATTTTAAAATAAAGTGTCTTACAATTTTCTTAGGATTAGTTGGTATATATATATATGCCCTAATAAATATCAAAGACAGTACATTTTCTACAACACTGCAAAGAAAGAAAATAATCTGTATCTTTCTATGAATGATCACATCAGTGTTGCTCAGACTCAGAACAGATCTCTATCCAAATTCTAGAATACTTAATTGTAAATAGTCAATTCTCTAAAAAACTTCAAGGAAACTAGGTGAGCTGCTTCCATCTCAGTGGGGTCAACTATAAAAATGTACAGCTTGTTTTATTTTTAAAAGCTACTTACTTGCTGCAAACATCCTTCACACTTTGGGGAAATTTTTATGTCAAAAGAGATACAAACGCTATTCATTCACTTAGAACATTAACTCCTTTCCCCTACTTTTCTTGTCAGCATTTCTCTAGTTCTATTTTAGGAACAAATTTCCATTTCTACTTTTTAAAAAAACTTTTGTGGTAAAAGCAGAGGATTTGCATCCCATAATTGTGCTTATCTATCTGGAAACATGGAAAATATTGGGTCAAAGTTAAGTTTGTAGGCTTTCAGACATGATCAGAAAGCACAAGTTCATAACAATTTCTGCTCCCCACTGACCACCCCCCCTCCCCAATCCAACTTCTGGACTCTTGATTGGTTTTAAATATCAAAATACACAGAGAATCCACTTCATGGGGATTACTTAGTACTCAATTTGACATAAGAGTCAAATAACAGAAATTGTCGGTATATATTATAATAGAGAAAATGACAGAGATAGTCAATATTGTCAGTAATAGAAAATCAAGTAGTCAAATTCTATACCCAAGTTAAAAATTTTGGTGAAAATATCTGTGTTCTGACTTTTGCATATTTGATTGCTTAACTGACAAGTGAGAGTTTGTATGCACAGGGGTTTCATACATTTTGCAATATGAAAGAAGCCAAAGTATTCACGGCTAACATGCGATGAAAAGCAAGAAATTATTATCAAAAGAAAATTATAGGAGAAAAATGTTGTTTATGAATCATTTGTTTTTCAAGACTAAGCAAAATAAACTAAAGGACAAAGTCCAAGGGTTCAAAACTGTGGCACAGACACCAGCAGAGAGACGTACCGCTGCTTCCTTCCTCTTTGCTGCCGAGGCTGCTCCTCCTGAGGGTACTTAAAAATGTCCTGAAAAATGGGCTCATATTTCTTAAAAATTACAGCAGAAACGGTGAAGTTTCTTTCCAATCTCTCAGTCCGTTCTCTGAAATCTTGGGGTAGATTTGCCATCTCTTCCCACTTCTTCATCTTGTTAAAAAATTCAATCAAGCTAATATTAAAAATAAAAAAGATATTTTCTAAATTAACACAAGTATACAAATGCAATTAAAAGTAAATAAAGATTAACTCATTGAATTATATTACTTTTAGACAGAAAAATCAAAACCCCTGCCTGACTAGCTTAGTCTCCTACAGAATTTCTCTGATCTTCCGAATCAACTTTTATTCTCACAGTACTCTAAGTTTTATTTACAAAATTGATTAAAAAAAACCAGAGTAACACAACCATCATTCACGTATCCGACTGCCAGGTTTCACAAATACTAACATAGTGAATACATTTTGCCATGTCTGCTTGTTCTATAGAAACAGCCAAAGTTCCCATTTGTACTCTCCCTCAATCTCATTCCCCACTCTTCTCTCCCTAAACATCATCTAAAGTTAGTCTAAATCTTTCCCATCCGTGCTTACTAGAGTTACTATATGGATATGCTTGTATCCATATACAGCAAGCACATCTTTTGTGTGAGTGATTATAATTTTATATAATAAGTAGCATTTTGCAACTTGCTTTTCCATTCAATAATGTTGCCGAGTTAATGTTGATACATGTAGATCTAATTCATTCATTTTAATTGCTAAAAGTATTCCTTCGTATGAACTACCATGAATTTTTGCAACTGGCAGTTGTCCCCAACCAACTGACATTGAGGTTTCTAACTTTTATTATAGCCAAAAATATTGTAATGAACACATTCTTGTACCTAAGAATTTAGGCCAGAAGTAGAATTGAGTCAGAGAAATGTGCATTTTTCAACTTTACCAGAAATGTGCCAAATTTCCCACTGAAGAGGTCTGTCAATTTATTCTCTCAGCAATGCACACCAGTAACATAGTTTCTCTCTCCCTACATTATGACCAATATTGGATTTATCAGACTTCAAATTTCTCCAATCAATGAGCATAAAATACTTGGTTTGTTTGTTTGTTTTTTACTTTGACTTCAGCTCTTTATGCACTGCCTCTTGTTCTTAGGCCTAAACATTACTCAGAATGGAGTTAGTTCAAAGTCAATAAATAGACTACAGCTAAATATTACATCTCTTGATAATTATTTTAATAGTGATTTTTTTAAACCACTAGGTCCGTAAATTATTTACCTTCCAAAATGCAAAACATCCCCTTTCCACCAATCTTCATTCAATAAGTCATAGAAAAAATTCACCCACAAGGCACAAATAATAAATGTAATAATTTAATTACACAACCAACAGAAAAAGCCCTTCTGCCTCTTCTTGAAAGCATTATCTGACCCTTTTTATAACTGATTATAATACTGCTGCCAATCCCCCAAATCAGAAACTTAGAAGCATTTACACATTCCATACATATTACAATACAAGTCCTACGCATGCAGTTTGGAGTGTAATAGCATGTAATATTTTATTAACTTTTCAATCTAGAGTATTTCCTAAGGTTTCTCAATATTCTTACTTAGAATTCTTCATTACAGAATGAGATAACCTTCTAATAGTAAACTCTTCATACACATGCCTGCTATAGTAGTCACACTATTTTTCAATTTCAATTCAAACATAGTTACCTCTGCTCTGAGCATCGCAGGAGTCTAGTTAAAGACACATAGTTTCCTTCAGCTGTCCCTTTGCTTACAGTTGGCACAGATTTTCTGCAAGCCACATATAAGGCACATGCCAACCAATGCAGATCATTCCCCTACAAAAACAAACGAAAACTGTTACTTAATGATATATATATATGTATACACATATATATATATTTCAATATAAAATTCTTATGTTTAAACTGAAAGTGATATTTATATGTTTGGGGAACTGTATTTTCAGTGATGGCCCTATTCTATGTGCTCATCTTTTTTTTAATCCTCACCTGAGGATATTTTTCCCATTGACTTTCTTAGAGAGAATGGAGGGAAGAGAGGGGACTGGGGACATCCACGTGAGAGAGACACATCAATTGGTTGCCTCTGGCTCTCACCCAGACCAGGATGTGGATCAAGTCTACAACCAAGGTACGTGCCCTTGACTGGAAATCAAACCCATGACCCTTTGGAGCGTGGGCCAACGCTCTAACCACTGGGACAACTGGCCAGGCCATGTGCTCTCCTTATAATGGCATTCTTCCACTGAGAGGAGGGGTCTGTGTTCCCTCCCTTTGAACTGCCTCAACCAACAGCACAGGTCAAAGGGTTACTATGTAACTTTCAAGGGCATGAAAGGCAATACAGATTCCACTGGCTCTGTCAGGACCTGTGCCTTGGGAGGCCCAACCTGGGAGTAGAACACCTCCGGCAAATTACTTAACCATCACAGAGGCTCAATTTTCTTATCTGCGGGCTGTGAGAATGGAATGAGCTAGAAATATGAAGTACAGAAAAATTCAAGGAATCAAAAGATAAACTCTGTAACCAGTACTCTGTGTTAAGTATCACATTCTCTTATAGCATACCTGGCTACGAGTTCAAGGCAGGGGGTTTTAAGTTTTGTACCCCAGTCTATTCCCAGCACCTCCAATAGTGCCTGGCAAAGAATTAGTTGTTCAAAAAATATTTAATACATGAATAAATATTAATTTATTGGCTAAGCTGCGCTAAGACTCTGAGACTAACGTCATAAAAAATGAAGTAATCACACATTTTCAAAAATGACTTACTAACCATCTATTGTTTGTCACTTGCTTATATAGCACTGGACTTCACCTCTATGAATTGAAATACCCCAACTGCATGGTGATAATGCTTGTTCTCTATAATTTACAGGATTATCAAGAGGGTAAAATAAGAGCTTATTTGGAGGCATTTACGCACATCACCAAAAAGAGTCCTTCTCTTTGCCTGACCCCAGGAACCACTGGGAAATAAACAGGAACACGGCCTGTTTAGCCGGGTCACCTAAGTATCCTCATCGACTGTACAGCACGGTCCCTGCGAGTGAGTTTGTGCCAGAAACTACACATTACTACCTGACTTAGCCCCCAGAACAGCTCTGTGACTTAGATGCATATATCTCAATTGTACCTATCACAAAATTGGAGTGGTTAAGTAAATTGTCCAAAAGCACCCAGATCTGTCAAATACTTAAAGCCACTATAGTACTAGCTTTTCTTTCTTCCTGCGCATATAACAATGGGGAGCGGGGGGAAAAGAAAACGGAATTAAAATCCTATCCATGCAAAAACAACTACCCTGAATGGCTTGGCTCAGTGGATAGAGCGTCGGCCTGCAGACTGAAGGGTCCCAGGTTTGATTCTGGTCAAGGGCGTGTGCCTTGGTTGCGGGCACCTCCCCAGTAGGGGGTGTGCAGGAGGCAGCTGATCGATGTTTCTCTTACTGATGTTTCTAACTCTCTAACCCTCTCCCCTCCTCTCTGTAAAAAAAAAATCAATAAAATATATTTAAAAAAACTACACAAATCACCTGGGTGGCACGGACGCAAAAACACCCTCGGTGCGCTCAGACCCCGGGATCGGCCTTTCCCTCCAGGGCCTACCTGCCCGCCTCCCTCTCTCCAAAACCTGTCACACAACCTGCCAACATCACGTGGCTTCCTGTTTGACGGCTGCCCGCTCGGCGGGGAAACAGCTGATAAACAACCCGCACTTCCGCGTCCCTTCCCATTGGCCCGCCGCGGGGCGGGGCTTGCGAGCCTCGAGCCTCACTGGCTACAAAGAGCTTTTTTTTTTTTTTTTCTCCTCCGCAGGCCCCGTCCGAAGAAAGGGGCACAAGCACCAGCCTAAATCACCGGGACTGTCAGAGCCCGGGGCCGTGCCGGGGGGCGGCCCAAAGGGGTTCAAGGTTGTCGCGGCCCTGCCTTCCGAGTGACACCGGGGGCGGGGGCCCGGCGTGTGTCCACATCCCGGCGGGCGGGTCGCCCGTTTCATCCCATGGACGGTGGAGGGAAGCCCCCTCGTCCCCACGGACGTGAGCGCGCGGCCCCACACCTCACGCGCGGATTCGAATAGCTGGGCAGAGGCGATGAGGTTCCGCGGAAAAGGAGCCGAAGGAGGGGACCAGAAACCCCAACATCGGGCGACTCGCGGCGCCCCCTGGGGCAAGCCCCTCCCCCGCTCCGTGCGGTCCCCGCACCCGCACCTGTTCCTTCTGCCGACCAGGTGGCTGTCAATTTGTAGCCAGGACCCCAGCGCGACCTCGGCCTCGCGGGGGGCTGCATTAGGGCAACAGGTGTCCTCCATTCGGAACCCCAAAGGGAAGAGCAGCAAGACGGGGTTCGCCTTCGGAGCCACCGGGAGCTTTTCAAAAGCTCGGTTTCCAGGTCTAAGGCGCAGCGAGGGTTCCCACCCCGGGGCCTGTCGGAGGGAGGGATCCCTGCGGGGCGCCCGACCCAGGGGGGCAGGAGGGTCCCCTCCCCGCGGCGGGCGTGACCACTAGGCCCGGGAAACCTCCCCGCGCCCTCCCCCGTGGCGCACCTCCAGCGTGTAGCTCTCGCTCATGCTCCGGTAGCTGTCCCAGGCCTCCGCCCGCGCCGCCTCGTCCATGTTGAGGCGGCAGCACAGCTCGTCGAACCGCTGCTGGGTCTGCGGAGTCGGCGTCCGCGTCGGCTGCGCGGAGTCCTCCGCCTCCCCGTCGTCATCGTCCTCCTCCTCCTCTTCCTCGGGGCCTGCCGCCTCCGGAGGGGGCGGCGAGGGCGGCGGCGACAGGTCGCCTCCAGATGGCATGGCGCACTCTTGGGCGGCCAGTCCTCAGGTGAGCTGCGGGCTCGGGCCCGTAGCCATTCAAACCGCGAGGCGCCCGCCCGTCCGCCGCTTATAAGGCGACTGAGCTGCCGCCGACGGCGCGTGACCTCACGTAGGCACCCGTAGTTCTGAGGATGGCCTGCCGGGAAATGGAGTCCGCGCCGGGAGCCCGCGCGGGTCAAAAAGCATTTCAAACTGATCAGTTCGCGCACTCTCACCCGGGCTGAAATGCAAGCGGCTGCTGTACATTGTAGGTCCATCCCGAGAGCATCCGGCGGGGCGCCCTCGAAAAGAAAACATCCAAGGAACACCGACATGTGAAGGTTTACTATCCAAGCTGTTCCCAGAAAGAAGACTCCAGCTCGGTGTCCTTATTTGAAAAGTAGGAATAGCGAAGGCCTGTCTGCCAACGTTCGTTTTCGGCCTCGCTCCTAATTTCTAGCTTTTTCCTAGGTTTACATTTTATTTGAGCCTCTTAATTATTGGATTTTTTAAAAAGCAGTAATCCCTTCCCCTGTCCCCACAGGGCCAATATATGTTCACTGTGACGCATTTGTACTACCCTCAGCCGCCCAATAACTTGATCCCTTTTTATTTTGCTTTCTCTTTTCCTGTCTATAGACTTGAATCTCTTTATTTCCAGTCCTCTTTGGCTTATAAATGAGTACAGTGTACATTTTCATGCTTGAGGAGCCTGACAGCCATGTGAACTGAGGAAAAGAAATACTGGGGCAAAAACCCGTTTCAGGAAACTTTAGCAGGATGCCGGCGGCAGAGAGGAGGATCTGGGGAAAGATACAGGACGCTCACGGACAATTAATTCTTGGATTTGCTTTCTCAGTGTTGAGATAAGGTGATCAAAGGCAAGAACAGAGGTCAAATACAACCGCTTTATAAGCATTTCTAAGTTCATAAGAAATTCTAGTTGTTTCCTTATATTTAGGCTGGGGATACTAAATTTTAGAAAAATGGTATTGCTTATTTTGGACACCAGCAACAGTTTTACTAAAACAGAAATTAGATTTGTTTAGAGGTAAGATTTGTTTACCATTTTCAGTCAAGTTTAATGTAATTGAAATAAAATTTATGGTAATAAACCATCAAATATGTTTTGAAAAATATGCTTTGCTTGTGCATACCAATATTTTCAAAGCCAATGGACTCTAAATACCATAGTAACTTGATAATATCCATTTTAAATGTACATTTACAGAACTTTTAACTATTAGACGTTTTATATCATCCCTATTTCTCCTTTACCTAATATTCCCATCCTGCTATACCAACAAAATTTTATCTTAATGTTTTGTGCTTGAAAGTCCATTCTTGAATCTTTCATATTTCCTGTCATCAAAAATGTATGTACTGACCTGGCTGGGTGGCTCAGTTGGTTACAGCATCAATCTATAGACCAAAAGGCTGAGGGTTCGATTCCTGGTTAGTGCACATAACTAGGCAGTCAGTCTCTCTCTCTCTCTCTCTCTCTCTCTCTCTCTCTCTCTCTCTCTCTGTCAATTAATAAAAGCATACCCTTGGGTGAGGATAAAAGAAAAAAATATGTATGTGCAAATTAACTTTTAGGTATCCTTCTGTTTATTCTTTTTATGTCAGATTCATTGAGGTATAATTTGCATGTGGTAAAATTCACTTTCAAATATACAGTTCTATGAATTGTGAAAAATTGTCATGTCCACCATAATCAAGACACTAACCATTTCCATCACTCAAAGTATTCCTAGTACCTGTGTGTAGTGATCCCTCCTCACACATCCCCGGGCAACCACTGGTCAGTTTTCTGTCCCATAGTTCCGTATTTTCCAAACTGTCATATAAATGTAATCATACATTATGTAACCTTGATTGGGCTTCTCTCAACTTAGCATAATGCCTTTCAGATTCACCCATGTTGTTGCATGTGGCAGTCATTTGTTCCTTTTTGTTGCTAAGTCATATCTATTGCATGTATCTCCCAACATTTATTTACCCATTCACCAGCTGAAAACGTCCAGGTTCTTTCCTTTGGTGATTATGAGAAAAGCTGCTACTAACTTGCATGTGTATGATTTTTGGGTGACACAAGTTTTCATATGATCCAGCAATTCCACTCCTGGGTACTTATCCGGAGGAAACAAAATCACTATCTTGAAGAAATGTCTGCACTTGTATGTTCATGGAGCCATTACTTACAATAGCAAAGACATGCACACCTGTGTTCAACAACAGATGATGGATAAAAAAATATACATATACAATGGAATATTACTTAGCCATACAAACGAAAATCCTGCCATTTAAGACACGAATGGACCTTGCATGCATTATATATACGTGAAATAATTCAAACAGAGAAAGACAAATACTAGTACTGTATGACCTCACTTGTGGAACCTAAAAATAAAAAAAACAACAAACTCATAGGTACAGAGAACAGATTGGTGGTTCTGAGTCGGGAGATTGGGGGAGGGGGGAGGAATAGGTGAAGATGGTCAAAAGATACAAACTTCCCAACTTATATGTCCTGGGGATGTAATGGACAGCATACTGACTATACAAAACGGCTGTATTGTATATCTGAAAGTTGCTAAGAGAGTAGATCTTAAAAATTCTCATCACAAAAGAAAGTTTGTAGCTGTGTGGTAATGGATGTTAACTAAACTTATGGTAATCATCTCACTATACACACACACATAATGATTTGCTATATATATATGTATATACACACTGAGTGGCCAGATTATTATGACCACCTGACATTTGTATGCAAATTAGCCGTACACTGTATCGTATGGGATATGGAAGCCGAAGGCCTGTTCGAACATCTTTGCTGTCTGCAGTTACCAAGATAAAATGCCT